GGCCTCCATGAGTGCGCGCGGACGGGGGGGAATAGAAGAGGATGCGACGGGCGCTTGACGGCGTCCTCCTGTTGCCCAATGCAAGCAAGATGATGCGCACATGTCGTCCTCCGTAGCATCGGGGTCAAGCCAGGCGGTGTACCGCGCACCTGGGCGGGGCCGATGCCCGGGCGCGTTGCCCTACCATTGTACGAATGTGAGCCGAGGTTTCTGGCGCGGCAGGAAATTTTCAAACGGGCAGGGCTCGACCGTCTGAAGCTGTTGCACCGGCTGGGAACCTCGCCCCCCGCGCCTGCAAATCCTAATATCTTGGAATACGATGCTAACCCTGTAGCAGACACTGTGGGGCACTTTGTGCTACGCCTCGCGCTCAGCACAGTGGGCCCCCTGAGCCAATGGCTAGTGACGCGCGAGGTGGTTCTTCTGCAGCAGCGATGGGCCAAGATGGCGCGAGTGGAGCACGATGGAGCCTTGACTTTGCTGGGTATCACCCTCGGAGAGGAGCGCCCGGGACTGTCCAAGTACCACCTGCCGTTCACACAAGTGCCACCGCGCTGGGTGGCGGAGCGCCGCGTGGTGCTCAAGCGCGGCGTGGCTCACGTGGCGGGCTGCGACGCTTGCGCCTTGGCGTCGCACCTGTTCGACGCGCGCCTGCGCGATTCGATGCAGGACGCCGCCCGGGCGATGCAGAGCCGGGAGCACCATCCCCCGATTGAAAGTGCGATGCCGCTGCTGGAGAAGTTTCGGCGCCATGCTCAAGGTCTTCTGACGCCGCCCCCTGCGACCTCGCCCAGACTGTCGAACTGGCCTATTATGGGCGGCGACGTTGGTCTAGCTCTGGATAACTTTGAGGAAATGAGGATGTCGCTCCCCCCATGCATGCAGCACGTGATCCTCCACCAGCGCACAGGGCGGCGGTTGCGATTCCAGGGCCTGCTGCAGTTGCGGCCCTTCTTGCGGAAGGTTGGGCTGGACCTCCCAAGCGCGCTGCGGTGGTTCGAGACGGAGCTGCGTCGCGACGAGCACGTCACCGAGGAAGTCTTCGAGAGGGAGCACCGGTACCAAGTGGAGCACGCCTACGGCGCCCGCGGCCACGGGCGCGGCGCGCATCCGTTCGGGTGCGCCAGCATCCAGAGGTTCCCGCTCCCTGAATCCGGCCAAGTCCATGGCTGCCCGTTTCAGCGCGGGCACGAGAGCCCGTATAACCTGGCCACATTGCTCGGGCATTGGGGCTTGGCGCAAGAGGGGGTCGATGCCGTAGTCCGTGCGGCGCGAGAAGGGCCCCCTTCTCGCGCTTGCGCGGTTTTTTTTCGGCGCGGCGCACCCGTGGACGAGCTGGAACCGACGTGGAGCCGTCGGTCATCCAAACGATTACCTTCGGCGCAGCAGGATGGCGTGGGCCACGCGCTGGGGTCGCCCCCCCCCTCTGGCACTGCCGCGCCGTGACCAACGCGCGATGCCAGCTTTGTGAAGCTTGCTGGGGCAAGTCCCCACGAACCTCCAGGCCCGCCCTGTGCAACCCGCCTTGCTCGCGTGTGGGGCGCCCCATGACAGCGCTATGATTCTCGTATGAAAGAAGCATCCGCCCAGCTGTTGCGCTCATCGCATGCAGCGCCTATGCGGGACAAGGAACGAGCCCCCGCTTCCCTGGTGCCGTTCCTCCACCTTATCCTGCCCCACATATTATGCCAGCGCTGTCTTTTCCTTGCTATCCTTCTTGTAATCCCCCCCCTGCTCCGCACCCTTACCCAGCAGTGGGGGCGAGGAAAGCCCCCCATGAGACCCACAGAGCCTCGGACCTTCAGGTCCGAAGTGTGAGCCCGGCATGAACCTCAACATGAGATCTGGTTCCCCTCTGGAGATCGGACGCACGACTCACTCGGGCCTGTGAAAGCATGGAGCCATCTTGGAGCATCTTCGACTATCGAGAACAATAATCGACGTCATCTTCGGCTCTCTGCGGCTCTCTTGGAGCCGTCTTGGGCGAAAAGGGGCACTCTGACACCTCGCGGGGCGCCCCGCCCAGGTCCAGGGGAAGGGGCGGGGAAGAGGGGTAAACCCATCCCCGAAGCGGAAGAAGGGGGGTGGCAGAGGAAACTCCCCCAAACCACCCACGCGCTACAGGGTCGGTGGGATGGACACGGTAGGTTTCGCGTGTAGTCGACATGGGGTGCGGTGGGCCGCCCACTCCCTCCGCCTCCCTTCTCCAAGGCAACGATAGCGCTGGCGGAGCCGTTCAAGATTGATCACTCCTCTGGGAAACCATTGAAGGTTGAACATTCCCCTGGGGAGTGGGCGAGGGGGCGAAGGGGACACATTTCGGTCCCCGGGAGCACAGGAATGAACCCACGGCGCGAAATCAAGATCGAGGATGGCTCCGAGAGCTGCTTGGGAGTTCCAAGGGCGGATGTCGGGGCTGGGCCCTCACGAGCGGGCGGGTCGGGCGGCGGGCGGGCGGCGGGTCGGGCGGGCGGGGCATTCAAGTATAAAGCATATGCACCTGATGACGCCTGTACCATGTGACACGCGTGGAACCCGAACGGACGAAAAACGGGTCGGGCAGGCGGAGCTTGAACGAGCGGGCGCGGCAGGCGGCTGGCGGAGCCCGAACGGGGCGGGCGGGCGAGCGGGTCGGGCGGGCGAGACATTGAAAGTATGGCGCAGATGCAAAGCATGACGCGTGTACCAGGTGGCACGCGTGGAACCATAATGGGCGGGCGGCGGGTTGAGCGGGCGAGACTGTAATGGGCGGCCGGGCCGGGCAGGCGGCGGGTCCGGCGGGCGGGACATGCAAGTAGGACGCATGTGCGCAGTGTAACGCATGTACCAGGTGGCACGCGTGGAACCCTGACGGGCTGGCGGCGGGTCGTGTGGGCGAGACCCTAACGGCCGAGCGGGTCGGGCGGCGGGCGGGGCCCTCGCGGGCGGACTCGGACGGGCGGGACATTCAAATATGACGCATGTACACAGTATGGCGCATGTACCAAGTTGCACGCGTGGAACCCTGACAGGCGGGCGGCGGGTAACGCAGGTGGGAGCCCTGACTGGCGGGCGGATCGTGCGGCGGGCGAGCGGCGGGTCAGGCGGGCGGATCGTTAAAGTATAACGCATATACACATCATGACGCATGTACCAGGTGGCACGCATGGACCCTCACGGGCGAAAAACGGGTCGGGCAGGCGGGACCGGGCGGGCGGGTCAGGCTGCGGGCGGGACCATAACGAGAGGGCAGGTGGCGGGTCGGGCGGGCGGGACATTAAAGTATGGCGCAGATGCCAAGTATGACGCATGTACCAGGTGGCACGCGTGGAACCATCACGGTCGGGCTGCGGGTCGAGCAAGCGGACACTACTGGGCGAGTGGGTCGGGCGGGCGGCGGGTCGAGCGGGCGGGACAGTAAAGTAGGACGCATGTGCACATCATGACGCATGCACCAAGTGGCGCGCGTGGAACCCTGACGGGCATGCGGCGGGTCGCGCGGGCGGGACCCTAACGGCCGGGCGGGTCGGGCGCCGGGCGGGTCGCTGACGGGCTGGGTCGGGCGGGCGGTACATTAAAGTATGACGCATTTACACAGTATGACGCATGTGCCAAGTGGCACGCGTGGAACCCAGACGGACGCGCGGCGGTTCGGGCAGGCGGGAACCCTGACGGGCGGGCGGCTCGGGCGGCGAACGGGCGGCGGGTCGGGCGGGCGGGACATGAAAATATGACGCATGTGCACATTATGCACATGTAGGAGGTGGCACGCGTGGAACCCTAACGGGCGAAAGTCGGGTCGGGAAGGCGGACCCCTAACGGGCGGACGGGTAGGCGGCGGCCGGGACCCGAGGAACCTAGCCCTGATGCCCTGTCAGACGAACGTGGGAACCTAACTCTAATGCCCTGTGCCGGACCCGCTCGCCGAACCCCTAACCCGGGCACGCGAACCCGAACCCTGTAACGCTGACCCTGACACCTGAAGCCGAACCCTCCCCCGCAATTCTGACTCGAACGGAATGAACCGAACGCCCGAAACGGAACGCCCAAACCCGAGCCCCAACCCCGAATCGTAACACCCAAACACGAACAACGTGACCTGAACATCCGAGCCCGAACACCGAAATACGAACCCGAACACCCGAAGTCCAGGTAACAGCGCCGAAATGCCCGAGGGCCGAAAGCAGCAAAACCCGGAAACCCTGAACCCGGAAGGCCCCAGCAGCCGAAGGCCCGAATGCTCGAACAGTCGGAAACACGAAAACTCTAATACCCAACTCGAGCCACCGAACCCGAGAAAAGAACCTCAGAACCCGCAGAAACCCGAACACTCGAAGTCCAGGTAACCGCACCAAAGTGCCCGAGGGCCGAAAGCAGGACAACCCCGAAACCCTGGACCCGGAAGGTCCCAGCACCCGGAAGCCCGAATGCCTGAACATTCGGAAACCCGAAGACTCGAATACCCAACTCGAGCCACCCAACCCGAGAAAGTACCCTCGCAACCCGCAGAAAAACCCAACCCGAAAAAATACCCCCCCAACTCGAAAAAAAACACGGCCAACCCGAAACAAAAACCCGCGGAGGGTTTTTTTTTCGGGTGGAGGCCGGGTTTTTGTTGGGGGTTGGAGCCGAGAACCAAAAAAAAACATCTCAACCCGAAAAAAAACCCAGCTCACCCCGCGTGGCTGTGCCCAAGACCACAATGGCAGGTATACGATGGAGCGCACCGCTTCGTCCACTGTGGCAGCAATACCCCTCTGAACGAACAATCGGCCCCGATTAGTAGGTCGACCCTGCCAAATCAAGGGTACCTTTGTGTTCTGTGCCTCGCGACCCGTGCCTCCTGCATTCTTATGGCAATGTGGCCCTCGGAAAGGTCTTGTGTCCTCTCGCGTGTCCTGTCCAATGAAGTCCGACTGTACGTGGTGCGCTCTTCCCCCTCTTCCTCCTACCTAGGGCCACGCGTTCGCACGACGGCACCCACTTGGCTGATGGCGATGCGGTTCCGCTAAGCTCCGTGCCTTCCCGACCTCCTTCGCTTTCCTCATGTCCTGCCACTCCGGTGCAAGAGCCAGGATGGGGAGAAGGTTGCAAAAGGGCAGTGGAGGAGGCATGCGGGGAGCGAGGAAGCAGAAAGGAAAGGAGCAAAAGGAGGATAAGAGCAAGCGCAGGATGCACCAGTGATGCCGCAATACTTGGCGGCGAGCGAGGGGGGTAAATGAGAAGGAGAAGCCCTTCTCAGAAGGCGGCGGGACTTCTCTCAAACCCTCGCGCCTTCTGTGAAGTTGTTTCTGTTTTCGGGGAAGGCTTGGAAAACTGCTCAGAATGCCGGGGGACTTCCGAACCTTCTGAGAAGGCCTTCTCCTTCTCACTTCCCCTCCTCGCTCGCCGCCGAAACACACCCTCCCGTCCGACGTCCCCTCCTCAGGAAGTCCCCACGTGCAGTCCTCCTCACTGCGGCAAGCGCCCCCCTCGAGGGACGAAAGCCCGATGGGCCTGCCAGTCTGACGAGAGCTCTGCCCTGAAAACGACTGCCCCTCGTCTCCTTCAAGAGCGAGACACGCGCAGAGGAGCACCAACATGGTCAAGGAAGGTGTCGAGCGAGAGCCCCTTTCGGAGGAGACCGCCGTCCATAACTGTGAAGAGGGCTCAAGAGCGAGTCCGACCCCCAGGACAAGCAACAACAAGCAGGAGGAAACACACACACACACACATGTTCTGTGGGAGCATGTTCCGACGAATATGCCCTGCGCCAATACAAAAGCCACGTTTGCAAACGTTTTACCCTCCATCCTTGTAACCGTTGTAATCGTTCAAGGTGGGTGCGCGGCACGAAAGCGAGTGCCACATTTTGAATACAGCTCGCTCTCCGTCCGCAAGACTGTTGCAGCATGTTGAAGACGAGGTGGCGCGGCACGAAGGCGAGGGCCACATTACAAAAGTGTCGCCCTCCATGCATGTAAGTACTGCAAGTTTCTGGGTCGAGTGCGCGTAGCGTCTATGCGGTTGCCACAGTACGGATGCAAAAGACGCCAACACATTTATGAAGCTGCTGCTCGCTTCCAACTTCGAGATCATGACGGATGGAGATGTCGCAGACGAAACGCCCTGCACGCACTACCAACACGTCTGGTGACGCAACGGAGAGAACTTACGTGCAATGACGAATGAGTAGGGACGGGTGAAGGTGGAGGAGCTTCGGAAGCAGGGGGGGAAGGGGAAAGAAGAAGGGGCAGGGGGAGTGGGAAGAAGAGGAAGAGGAAAGGGAAGGGGAGGGGGTGGATCCAAGGCATCAGCATTCGAAGCAAGCAGGCGAGCATCACAACGAGCGCAGCCATACTTAACCGCGAAGGGAGCTCATGTGTTTGGCAACTGGCCTAACGTGGCGCGAGATACATATCATGGTAGTGGTAACGTGAACGGCACGCGTCAAAGATGTATCCCTTCGGCGAAATCAAGTCGCGCCAAGAATTCTTCGATTGGGGCCGGAGATGGCCGCACCACGGCAGGCCCCTTGTCATGGTCCCAGGGCTGCCTCTCGGAAGCCCGATTTGCAGTGGATCGAGCGCGAAAATCACCACGCGGAACTCCTCCGCTCAACAACCGCAGGACACCAAAATCAAGATAAATCGTTTGAGGCGGTCCGCCACGAGGGATGAATGCCCACCTGAATTATCCCAAATTCAACGACTGTAGGGGTTCAATCAAAATTCAATGCTGGAGCGCCCAGGCTCGTTTAGAAATATGAAGCTGGAGCGCTCCCTTGTCTCCAGCATAGAATACTGGAGTGTCCTCGCTCGACTAAAACTACCGCGCTGGGGCGACACTCCGGTTGGGGATCGCGCTCGGTAGAGACGAAGTGCTGGAGCGCACGCCGCGGGATGCAAGAGAATTCGCGCCCGATGAAAACGCAGTGCTGGAGCACAACGTTGTTTCCTGCATGGCTTGCTGGAGCGCCCTCGCTCGACGACGTTCAGGCGCTGGAGCGATGGCCCGTTCGGGGCTTGCGCTCTGTGAATACGAACAAGTTTCGGAGCGCGCGCCGTGGGCTGCAGGAGTGCTCAGGCTCGACAGAATCACTGTGCTGGAGCGCACCCTCGTTTTGACTTTGGGTTGTTGGAACGTCCTCGAACGATAGAAGCCCACACCCCGTATCGCTCTAGCCTCTAGCGATTTGAAAGAAAAATGGAGGGGAGGGGAGGGGAGGGGCGGGGAGGGGGGGGACGCGGCAGCTGGGGGCTCCGGCATGGTACCCACGCCTCGTTCTCAAAAGGAGGACGGAAGCAGCAAGGATCAGAGCGTGAAGATCGTCTCGTAGATACCCCCACAGATACCCATGTGCTTCAATCTCCCGCTAGAAAAGGTAGTCCACTGCCTGTAGGTGCACGAGGAGCTCCTTGTCTAAAACCAGGCGTTGGCAGCTTTGCCTTCGCACGGTGTCGCGAAAGCCTCGACCGGCCCTATCTCCAGAAATCGGAAACCGAAGACAACCCAGGATGTCCTGATCCCTGCGCTCCCGAGATCTACCAAAAACGGACCGAACGACCTCTGGGACAGCGCCAGGCCAGCTCCCTGTGACTCGCACCCACTCGACGCACCCACCCACAAGCGCTTGGCACCCTCACCAAGAGTGTCACAGCAATAGACCAATGCAACGTAGGCGAGCAGCAGTTGAGCTCAATCAATAAGAAGAGTGGAGGAACGCGTGAAGCGAGCAGCGATGAGGGCACGGAGAAAAATGACGCAAAGAGCATAACGAAAAAGAGAGAGGCGGGATGGCACGCAGATAGATGTTGTACAATCGGACCTAAGACAGAAGACCATCCCTCAAGAACGCGAGACCCTCTGCCGGCCAAACCACACAGAACATCCCAGGGTAACCTCCACGAGGGGCACAAGATCATCCAAAAAGCACGATCAACATTAGGGTACACTCCCCGAACCAACCTCGATCTTATACATCGGTCCGACTGTAATTCGGAATCCGTGGGAGAGCATCGGCACGAGGAAGCAGCAGGCGGCAGAGGCAAAGGAGAAGGAGAAAGGGCAGAAGCTGCAGCGGAAGGAGGACGAGAAATGGATCATGCGCCTTCTCCTGCTCATGCTCCTGCTTCCTCTCCAGCCTACTCCTCCTGCTCCTCCTCCTCCTCCTTCTCCAACTCCTCCTTCCGGCGGCCAGCGAGGGGGAGAAGTAAGAAAGAGAAGGCTTTCTCAGAAGTGGACTTCTCTGAAGCCCTCGCACCTTACGAAAAGGTTTCTGTGTTTTCGGAAAGGCTTAGAAACTTCTCAAAAGCCCGGGGGACGTCCGAGCCTTCTGAGAAGGCCCGCCCCTTCTCACTTTCCCCCCAGCCTCGCCGTCGATCCTCATCCTGCTCCTACTTCCCCTCCAACCTCCAGAAAGGCCCCCGATAGGGCAAGAAGGCGCTTTACAGCGCAATTCGAGCCAAGGATGGTTCAAATCTACAGGCCCCCGCGGCGACATCCTCTGGCGGCTCACATGAGGGCTCGATATACGTAGCCCTCGCTCGCGCAGAATGCCAACGTCCGCTGCGGCGGCCTACCACTCTGAGCCGCGCCGCACTAGGACCTCGAGAGCTCATCACATCGTATCTAATCCGTCGCCGTGTTCGCCGAACATGGAGAAGGGAACTGCAGGCGTTCGACTCCAAGCCTGAATTTGATGATGGTGCTCTTGGAAAACAATCGAGCTCGGCGCGTTGCCCTGTTAGTCCAGCCGGCCCGCGTCCCGTCTGATCCATGCCGCCCCTGGCTGCCAGCAGAAGCACGGCGCGCTGCGCCCCCGTGGCGCGATTCAGCTGCTCAAGAGGCGTACTGAACGGTATGGTGTCGAGCAGGTGCCACCATTGTTTAGCGCAGCATGTCTGATTCGACCCTGAACGCTTGAGTACGTGTTTCGCCGCCTAGAAGCTGCTGTGCGGGTACTGATGTCCGCCCCGCTTGGTTCGACTGGCGACTAGGGTGGCTCCAGAGCATTACCCAGCGTCGAAACAAACATGGACTAGTCAGACTGTAATGAATACAGGAGCCCCCGAAAAAGACAAGAATGTGGTCCTGTGGAACTCTAGCAGCCTGGTTGGGTGGTCCAGGTTGGGTGGTCCAGGTGCGGGCAATCCGAGTTTGATCGTCTGCGAAAGCAGTGTGAAATATACGCTGTCCACTCACGTCGCGTCTGGCATTCAAGCCATTGCACGTCACCCTTCGCGTCTCGCTCACGACGCAGAGGGCCCCGTACAGCACGACACGACAATGATACTATGATAACAGCAAGGCCAATGGGCCGCCTTGCTTGACGCCTCTGCTCGCGTCGAAACTGCTCCTGTCAGATCCAGACAACAAGGACGGATAGCAATACAGCGGTAGCGCCGACGCTGGATTACACTAGCCTGTCAAACAAATCCGCCGACCCTGTCGGCGTGTGTGTGGGGCTTGTCTGTTCGAGTCGTCGTCTCCGTCAGTCGTCGTCTCCTTTGTCCCATTTCCCTGCACCCTCCTCAAGCTTGTCAGCGAGAGAAAATCTAACAATGTCGTAATCAAGCCGAAGGGAAGCCCATTCCCTTTGACCCTCCCCCGTTGGGGGGGGGGTCCTGGGCGGGGGGCGGGGTCAGATACCCATCCCCCCCTGGGGGCCCCGGGACCTCAGAAAGTACCAAGACAGGCCAAGAGTGCCCCAAGAGACCCCCGAGACGGTCTAAGAGGGTTCCCAATCGCCAAACGATCGTTCCAAAACGCCTTCACGACCTCCAGACTGCCCGGAAACCTCCAGGACGCCCCAAGACGCCTCCAAGAGCGCGCTCGAGAGGGCCCCAAGAGCCCAAGTTCATTGTTACCTAACAGCGAAGACTGATAGGTTTCTAATGGTCTCAAAAGAAAGCATCATGACTCCCCAGGGGGGTCTGGGCAGGATCCGGGGAGAATCCGCGGATCCGCCAGTGACTATGGGGAACACACCACTGAGGCTGAGGCTGAGGCCCCCAGCGCCGCCAGTGACTACGGGGAATGCACCACTGAGGCTGAGGCTGAGGCCCCCAGC